TCTTCCAAGCTCCAGAGGATTCCCTGGAACTGAACTGTAATTGGCAGGCCTCTACTTAGGCTGACCCACCCTTGGCCACTACAGAATTGTCCTACCTACCCTTCAGTCTTCTGTGAGAGTGACTTGTGCACAACAAGAGGTTCCCAGTTGGTGAAAACACTTTAATCTGAGTTTATTTTCTTGTAGCCAATAATGTAGGCTTGACTCATTGAAGATGATAATTAACCCATTGCAAATTGACCTCAAAACCAGCCAAACAGCTTGTATTTTACCAGCCTTGGTTGTGGATTTGTAGGCTATTTTAAGGTTTCTTAATAATCTCAGCAAGACTTCACTTTCCTCTCTGCATCTTATTTGCTCTAAGGATATTCTGTAAAATTAACAAGCTATAAAGTTTGATTGAAGGGTTCAACAAATGTGAGAATAATTGACTGCATTTAGAGAAACAAGAAAAACAACCTGTAAATTTGAGTTTGTAGGGGAAAACCCGTGTGATTTTTCTCTTTAACCAGAGGAGCAATAGCAAGCAGGACTTTCTAAGACAAAAAAAAAAAAAAAAAATAGAACTGGCTGATAATGCAAATTTAAATTCTGATTCTGTCCAAACCAAAAGCTCAGAAAAAGAAGTTTTGAAAAGTCTAACCATCCACTGTGATGCTCATGCCTTCCAGGACGTCTGTATGGAGAAAACGGAGACTCAGCAGAGACAAAAGAGCTCCTCGTTCCTGGAGTCTGCATCCAGAGGAGCCTGGTTCCCCTCTGACTCTGCCTCCTGTTCCCTTGCTAGTCCAGGGGTGGTGGGAGGTGTCCTCCCTTTCCCATGGTGCTCTGAGGTGTGTGTGTTAAATCTTACAACTCAGACTACAGCAGACTCTGGTGCTTGGTGCTCAGTTCCTTTTCTCTCTTTTGCCCTCCTGTCTTCCATAAGACAGCTTAGATATCTCTCTCCCTCTCTCTCTCTCTCTCTCTCTCTCTCTCTCTAGATCTCTAGATCTCTCTTTCTGTTTCTACCTGGACATCTCTGCCCAAGCTGGGCATGTCCTCTGTTGAGTGGCTGTGGAGAGTCACCAGTTCTCAGAGAACTCCATTCTTGGCTTATCTGTCATTCCCTCAGGTTCCCAAGATCAGTAACTCAGTCTGCCTTCCTTCTTCTCTCTTGACCTAGAAGTTTCTTCCTTCTTCTCTCAAGACCTAACCTTCCTCTTAACTCCAGCCTCCACCTACCCCCGTGCATGCTAACATTCTGTCTTTCTAAGGAACTGAGCCTGGGACTGGCCAGGCTCCTGTACCGCTTTGCCGCATCTCACTTTCAGTTTTCCTTTCTGCTTGGTTCTTTGCGTGTGGACCCGATCGGGTGATAACTGAAGCCCTGAAGCTAGAGGTTTCAGTTCCCACTGATGGGACACGTTGCCTCGGATGGTCCTCAGAAGGAAAAGGGGCTTTCTCTGGGTGCCTTACTTTCAGCTTTTCCCTGTCCTGAAGCCCCTGTTTTGTTTCCAAAGCTGACTAGAGTGATTTATGTAAGACATTCTGTCCATTAATTCTAGAGTTCCTAATAATCTCTGCAGTGAGTCTCCCTCCAGAAGGGCCATGACTGCCATTGAGAAAGTACAGGGTCCCAGGTTTCCTGTGGTACTCGTTAGCCAGCAGCCCTTTTCCCCACCTCTAGCCCCGGTCCAGCACAGCCTGTTAACAGCCCAGGAAGGAACACCATGCTGCCCAGCTCTCTCCCCTCTAGAGAATCCAGAGTTTGCCCAGAGCTACAATGTACATACCATTTACATTCTCTGTTTTTCATTGATACAGGATGGAAAAATATACTCATGAAAAGAACTGTTGTGGGGATTATGTCATACATTTCATCTGGACTCCTTCCTCTCCAAGCAGGGAGCCTAGCTTTAACCCCTCTCCTACCAGGAAGCCTCCTGGGCCAGCCAGAGATTATCTTGGAGTTGCCTCTTTGTGGGTGGTTTGAAGGGCTTCTTCCATCATGATGTCTCTTATTAACCAAATTTAAACTTTTGTCCCCCAGATTCAAGTGCTGGAGGCTTTGTCTAGGAGAATGTTCCCAACAATCTGTGAAGCTCTAGGGCCAAGAGAACTGGGTCCTCACCCCTCTAGGCACATTTCTCCTACCATGAAGCAGAATGCTTTAGCTGGCAGGCTAGCAAGCTAGAGACAGAAGGCTTCTCGGTGCCCCTGGGCAAGCCCTAGTCTTTGTGCCTCTCGGATCCCCATTTACTGAATAGCTAGAACCCCATGTTTTACACCCACATAGCACTCTAGAAAGATAAGGAGACTACAATCTTAGCTGTTCCCCTGCTAGTTGGATCGCAAAGGAACAGGGACCCTCTTCTAAAAGGTTGGGTGACTTTTCTTTCCCAGACAGGTAGAATCCTTTTCAGGCCTCTGAGCACCAGCTCAGAGACCCCACTGGATCAAAGCCCCTTTGAGAATCAGCTAAGAGTGCCCTTGCCCTTCAGGGAGGGACTAGTGGCCCTAGTAAACAAAACCTCAGGGGAAACCAGGTGCTTCTAAAGAGCAAAAATGAAAAAGGGACTGTTGGGACGGGGGCATTCCATTTTGCTATTGAGTCTGTGAATGACAGTTCCCAGTGATCCTCTAAGGATGTGTGCAGGCAGGCTCAGGATGTCTGCATCTCTAGGTCCCGCTGTGCCCTGGAAATCCCCAAATCCAGGAATCCACATCCACACATGTGGTCTTTCTCCCTCTTGGCCAGGAATTGCACACTTCCTGAGCCACTCAGAATGCCACCCAGCCTATGTTCTAACAGCGGGAATTTTCCTGCCCTCCTTTCGGCATGCACGCACGGGCACACTCTCCTCTTCTGGGTAGATTTCTGCTGCACGTTACAGGAATGCCGGCATAACCTCTCACCATCCAGGTGATGCTAAGGACCCTGGCAAGCTTCTTCTCTGTCCCCCTCCCACCTCTAAACCCCCACATCCTCGCCATTCAGCAGTTGCAGCCTCATACTGAAAAGGAAAGTCCTGGACCCATTACATAATTCTCCATAGTGCAAGCAGTAGCTGGGGCATAAGGTCAGAGGTCATAGTGGGGTCAGGTGGCTGACACACACTGTAACGACAAGGTGGTTAAAATTAGACCACAGAGAGGAAACTGGCAGTCTTGTGGAAATGCAGAAGTTTCCTCTGCAAGTGTGAGGCTGGGGATTCAGGGAGGCCACTGTGCGTGCTGCCTGCCAGGCTATTACTCATTTCAGCTCTGTTCTTTAATGCCTTTTAGCCCCTGCTTCTGTATTTCTAGCCTCCTTCATCACATGTTTGAATGCACGCGATGGAATCCATGGTTACCTGCCCTGGTCCAAGGAGAGCTTCCTTCCTCCTTAAAGAGATGTAAGCCCAGGACCAGGCACCCCAAGCTCAAGACAGCTATTCTTCCCAAAGCCTTACCTGGATAGCTGAGCACCTTTTATCGATAGGTTAGTCTTGGTGGAGGTAGTTGAAGTGATAGCCTGGGATTCAGGCCCCTAGTGATTCCAGGACCAATGGTGAGAGAGCAGGGAGAGTAGCATGTTTTGCTAGGAAAGGAGGTAGAGGTGGGAGTCACATAGCACCTGTGATAGAGTGGTGCTCGTTTCCACAGTGTCCAGATAACAGGGATCATGCCTGCCTCGTGGTTCCTTATGGTACTCAACCGAATTTCTCTGTGTTTGTCCGTGGTTACTGTGAGCTTCCTGTGTGCCCCACTCCCTGGCGAAGGGAGCTTAGGAGATGTAGTCTTTGCCACCAGTGGGGTTATTTTCGAGTGAAGGAGTAACAAATGCACCTGTGAAACAGTGAGCAAACAATCAAAGACAGACTCCCGGTTCATACTTTACTGTGTGATTCAGACATAGACTTCCCTTTCGTGTTGTGGAGTGGGAAAGCTTTGAGGGGGCAGGGGACACTCAGTATGGGCTAGAATCAGTGATGATGAGAACGGGCTGCCACCCTGTGGCATGTCTGACCACTGAAGTGTGTTTCCCTGAGTGGATTGGCCTTCACCAGCGTCTGAGCTTCAGATCAAGTGGGGCCCCTCCTCTGCCATGGTGAGTGCCCTTTCACATGGAGGAGAGGACCCCCGAGGCTGGAGATGGAGAAAAGGGCAGGAGGGGAGTGCAAGCAAAGCAGATGGGTTTGCAGGTGAGGCCACCATGTGTGTGTGGTCTCACAGGAGGAGGACTCCAGACAAGGTGACTATGGAGACTTATCTGAGACACTTACGAATTTGACGATTGCTCAATATGTTGAATTTCATTTCAGCTAAATCAGCCCAGCTTCTCTGACAGCACTGGCTTATGTGCTGATGTGGCCACATGGGAGCAGGATGGCGTGAACCCTGGAGGAGCAGAGCTTTGGTGAACACCCCCACCTGCTTTGCCTGTCTCCCTTCTGACAACAACTTCCTGCCTGAGCCCAGTCTCTGAGTATGAGAAGCTCTTAGGTGGGGCAGAACCCGCCAGGGGAAGCCCAAAATGATCTGGCTGAAATGAAACAGCCAAGAAAGCCCTCATCATTCATTTTGCACTCAGCTGAAAACTCTCCTTTTGGGAGTCTGGTGAGACGGGAGCTTGGAGAAGAATGGAGAGTGGCTGTGAGGGGTACAGAAAGTTGTGTTCTGTGAAAGCCAGTGGTTGGCACTTCACCCTTCCTTCTATCAATTAGATACCAAACTTTAAAGAATTTAGTCTTTTTTATTATCAGGAGGCAGGAGGGAGGCACAACCCTAGAGGATACCTGTCATTGATTCTGGGGTTGTCTGCTACCCTCAAGATGACCTAAGGAGAGACAGTAATGATTTTTTTCCCGTAGGTCTTGCTCCCCGTGTCACACATGTACGCACACCGCACACTCATTTGTCTCCTTGCCCAGCAACGTTGACACATTTCTCATGTGCTCCGCAGCCAACAGTGTCTCCTCATCTTCATCTTCCTTTTCAGAAAAGGCTGTTTTTCTTCTCTCCCTTTTGCCCTGTAGGTTATTGCAGCCGACTGCAAAAGGGTCACAGTGCTGAAGTATTTTCTGGAAGCCCTTTGTGGACAAGAAGAGCCTCTGCTGGCATTCAAGGGTGGAAAATATGTGTCAGTGGCACCCGTCCCAGACACCATGGGAAAGGAAATGGGAAGCCAAGAGGGAAAACAACTGGAAGATGAGGTACTATGCGGGAAGAGCCCGCTGTGGCAGAGGGAAGGCTCCCCTTCCTCCCCCTCCAGCCCTGCTCTGCCCATGGCTTCTACCCCTGGTTTATTTATAACCACCGGAGCAGCAGTGTCAATGTTAACGTGACCAGCCAACTTCTCAAGAGTGCACTCTGCTGGTGCCCCTTCCTGCCAGTCCCACCCCAATGCCTCCATCTCTGCTACGAGTTCCAGATGCTTCTTTTTAAAGTTGCATTGGAGAAGGGAGGGAAAGAAAGAGTTTAATAATGTGCAGCTCCGGAGGCTTAGGAAAGGGAGTGGAGGGGGGTGTTAGGGTTCAGGCTGAGGATCAAGTTTATAGATGTGTGGAGCTCGGCGCAGCACAGGCCTGAACTCCAGCCTCTAGCACACGTACAGGAAGAGCTGACATTGCTGGCCCCGTGTGGAAAATCACCCCTCCCCCGGCTACCCTCCCTCTTGCGTTCCCTCCCTCTCTCCCTCCCTCCCTCCTGCACATCCTGATGTGATTAAGGAATTCTCTTGTTTGTTTGCCCTTGGTTGTTCCTGTAGCCCTTGCTTCACTCTAAACCGGGTGCACTCGCCCGAGTGTGAGCATGCGTGAGCCTGTGTCCCTACCCCTGCTAAACCTCACTGGCAGTGCCCTGCCATGTATGTATGTGTCTTTCTGGGGGTGGTTGATGCCATGGGTCTGTCGGTCCTGGGCTTGTGTGTCAGTTTAAGTTGAACACTGCTTCCAGCTTCCCCGCCGTCTGTGGGTTCTGAGTAAATGTGAGTGTGCAGCGGTGTTGGCGCATGTGTGTGTTTAATATCACTGCCAGCAGCCCTGCTGTGTGTCTGGGTGTGGGTAACTCTGTCTGGGTGTGTGTGCACACAGCTCACTTTTGCCTGATGGTTGATTCTTACCTTCTTTTTACCTCACAGTGTTAAAGACAGAGGGGAAGGAACGTGGGACTTAAGGAAGGGGACGGAAGCAATTCCAGCCAGAGGCCAGGTCACCCGTAGGCCAGCACAGTCATTTGGCCCGCAAGAGTCTCAAGCGCCTGGTGGAGCAGGGTGGGGTGCAGGGATGAAATCAGCAACAGGCCAGGGAAGCCAGATGTCAGCTGGAAGCTGTCGTGTGTGATCTGAAACAGTGATAGAGTGGCCACCTTTGGTTCAGTCTTCAGAGAAGCAAAGTCTTGGACTGGCTTCATTAAAATAACTGGAGAACCCCACCCCACCCCTGATGATACAGGCTCAGCTTCCAGGACAGAGGAGGTTCCAGGGATAAAGCTGAGCCCACGATTCCAGACTCCCCAGATGAAACCTGGGCAGGGAATAATGGGAAAGAATGAGCTGTCAGCATGGGAGGAGACAGTGGGGTTGCTAAAGCCATCGGGGTGTCCAGGCTTCAGGCGGGACAGAGCAGTGCCACCCAGGCCCTGGGTACTGTGTAGGGAAGCATGGGTGGGGCAGTGCTAAGTCAGTTATCTCACCCACATCGGCAGGCTGAGGCAGCGTGGAAGGTCAGCAAGGCTAGTTCTCCAGGACTGCCGTAAGAGATGTCCCTGGCCAGTGGAGCCTGCAGTGCCAAATCAAGTTAGGCAAGTGAGGCCCAGAGAGAGGGGGTGAGCCACAGTTCTTTCTCTCCTGCGGGGAACAGTTCAGTTCTCTGGTCCCAGACCTTGGTGGTGTCCCCACTCTCCTTCAAATCTTATTAACCAGACAAAGGTTGTGACCCATGCCACGCTGCCCACTTCTTCCTTTTCCCACGAGCCTTCTGGGTTCCGTGTATGTTAGTGGCCCCTGGGAAACCCTGCTTACCCAGGTCTGTGTAATTTCATAACCCTGAACTTCCTCGTTTGCTGTGAGAGCTGAGCAAACCTCAGACAAGCCTTGCTGACCCTCCTTTGACCTCAGTCAAGCTCACACAGAGCCCCACGATAACCCAGTGTATCCTGATCAGAGCAGGCAGAGGCCACGTTCCCTCAAGGGCCAGTCAGGCATCCTATTCCCACTCACTCCAGTCCAGGTTAACCCATGAACAAGGAAGTAAATACGTAGTTTACTTCCTCCTTCCCAGAGTTTCTCTGGAAGTGCACCATGTGACACTATAGCCTGTGGGTTGTCAGATGAGTGCAGACAGCACGCAGACCCCTGAGACCTCTTAGGATAGTGGCAGTTCTGGCCCCATCCCGATATCTCATCTGTGCTCAGACTACAAGTCTGAGACACTTAAGCTGATTGGGAGAGAAGAGGTAGATACTTCTTCAGGCATAATTCTTTTTTCTTTTTTCTTTTTTAATATATTTTATTGATTTTTTACAGAGAGCAAGGGAGAGGGATCGAGAGTTAAAAACATCAGTGAGAAAGAAACATCGATCAGCTGCCTCCTGCACACCTCCTACTGGGGATGTGCCCGCAACCAAGGTATATGCCCTTGACCAGAATCGAACCCGGGACCCTTCAGTCTGCAGGCCAATGCTTACCACTGAGCCAAACCGGTTTCAGCTTCAGGCATAATTCTTCACGAAGATAACAAAGTCTAGTTCCTTAGGGATGCTACCGAAACACCTGGCTTTCCCCCCTAGACTCTGCGACCCCACACACTTTACCAACCACTTTCAGCCAAGACTCCACTGGAGTAGAGAGCAGGGTATACTGCACAGGTCCTCGGTGAGGCTATGGGAGACCTGGTGAGGCCGAGCCACTCCAGGATGGATCTGGGATCACCATCCAGATTAGGCCCCTGCCCCTGGGCTGGTTGGTATTATTAGTAAGAGCACAGACTTTGAAGTTGGACTCACTAGAGTCCCTGCTATGTCAGTTACTAGCTTTGTGACCTTGAGCAAATTGTTTAACTCTAAACCTCAGTTTGTTCATTTATAAAATAGGGATTATAATAGCATCTATTTCTCAGGCCATTGTGAGACTTAAATGAGTAAATACATGAAAAGCAGCCCTGTCCTTGGCCAATGCTAAGCTCTCAGTAAATGGTAGCTATTATTGTCATACCGGTAATCATTGTCATCATTATCATCGATTTAGAAACATAGGAATCTCCTCCTACTAAATCACTCCCTATTACCCTTGCTAACCCTGTCCCTCAAAGGAAGCTTCTTGGGCAGCTGCATGTTCTCTACTGACCAAGGCCAAAAGTGAGAGAGAGGAATGGAGCCTGGGACCACCCGGGGAGCAGTGGCTTCTGAGAGCTGAAACTGCAAGCAGGGAGGTGCCATCCCTGGGGAAGTCTCCACCAGCCTACAGGAGACTCTTAAGCTAGCAGCTATCTCCCTGCCTGCCCGAGCTCCGGGAGGGCAGCTGAGCAAGGTCATGTCATGTGAATTCCTATAAGGAAGCCCAGCCCTGACACCACCAGGCTGTGGTCTTAAATAGAAACCAGGGCAAGGTCTGCTGAGCTACAGCATCTGCTCCCTGACGCCGTCTGGGGCAAAGGAGCTTCCATGTCTAACTCCCAGCTGTTGGCCAGAATTGATTCCTATCAGATTATTAGCATGAATTAGATTTAAATTGGGTGGTTAACATTCTCTGTTGTTTTCCCCTTTGGTGACTTCAAAATGAAAATAGACCTAAATTGCCGAAATCGGTTTGGCTCAGTGGTAGAGCGTCAGTCTGCGGACTGAGGGGTCCCGGGTTCGATTCCAGTCAGGGGCATGTACGTTGGTTGCGGGCACATCTGGTGTTACAGGAGGCAGCTGGTCGATGTTTCTCTCTCATCGATGTTTCTAGCTCTCTAGCTCTCTCCCTTCCTCTCTGTAAAAAAATCAAAATATATTTAAAAAAAGAAAATAGACCTAAATTTTGACTTAATGAGTGTGGGCAAAGGAGAATGAAGAGCTGTGAGTAGAAGCATGAAAGTTGCCTGTGTGAGAGTGACTGATCGTGTGGATCTCTGACTCTGGCATCCAGAAAGAGTCCTAGAGCACAAAAGGGAGCAACTGGTCGGGGAGGGAGTAACAGCTTCTCTTTACAACTCACACCTTGGGACCCTTTGTAAGAAATGGTCTAAAGCATGGGGTGGCGGTGCGGGAAGGATAGGAAAGTGGGTCTGGTAAGTGTCATGGGCTCACAGCATCCTCTCTTTCCTGGCCTGTTTCGCCACCCAAAGGAGGAGGATGTGGTGATTGAAGACTTTGAAGAAGATTCAGAGGCTGAAGGCAGCGGGGGCGAGGATGACATCAAGGAGCTTCGGGCCAAGAAGCTGGCCCTGGCCAGGAAGATAGCCGAGCAGCAGCGTCGCCAAGAAAAGATCCAGGTGGGGCCTGCATGGGGGGGATGGCTCCCATCAGGGGCATGAGGGGATGTGAGTACCGAGCAGGGGTAAGCAGGATCGTCTCAGGAAGAGGCTCACATGTCTGGTTCCAACCTGTTTTCTTTTTCTGTCACTAAGTTCTAATAGCACATTTGGTGCCAGGAGGCTCCCTCCTCCTGGGATCTAAGTTTTGAAGTTCCCCTTGAACCTTATCCGTACGTTCCCAGAGAGGCCAGGGACTCTCTGTTGAGAACACCTGTTCTCAGGGGGAAGAATGTCATGGCCACGGTCTGCTTATCTGGATTCCCAGTGTGAGGCCAAGCCCCTCTGCAGACCTCTAAACCTTCCCAGAGAGAAACTGCTTGATTGCCACACAAGGATTCTTCCACCATCAGCCCTCTGTGGACCCATACCTCCACTTCCAGCAAGTTTTTCTTTTCTTTTCCTTTTTTTTCTTTAAGCCTCACCCAGAGACATGCTTATTGGTTCCAGAGAGAGGAAGGGAGAGACTGAGAGAAACATTTATCTGTTGCCTCCTATACTTGCCCCAACCAGGGATCAAATCCGATCGGAGATCGAGTCAGTCAACCTAGACTCGATATGCCTTGACTGGGGATTGAACCTGCAACCTTTTTGGTGCATGGGACAACACTCCAACAACCAAGCCACCCAGCCTGGCCCGCAAGTTTTTCGTATGACTCTTCCTGGTCTGCCTGCTTGCATTGTACGCTCACTTCCTCAAGACAGACAAGGAAGAGCCAGTCACACTCTCCCATTTAACTGTGCGCATGGGAAGCATCAGGCCCCTTTAGAACATCTGTTTTCAGCTCTTTTCAGACACCCCTCACCTTTGGCAGAGGCCTCAGCACATGAGGTCAAGCAGAATTGACTACGGTCTGGGCTCCACCACTTAACTAGCTTTGTGACTTTTGGCAAATTGTTTAATTTCTCAGAGCCTGTTTCTGCGTCTGCAAAGTGAAAGTGGTAACAGCACCTACCTCTTAGAATTGCTTGTGATGCCTACAAAAACCGGCCCATGTAAAGTGCTTAGCACACACAGTGCATGGCACACAGAATGTGCTTTATAAATGGTCATTGTGGTCTAATACTGTTCTAATCACCCATCGTACAGGGCCCTGGCCTAAGCAGGGAATAAGCACCAGTTAGGATCCATCGTTCTTTAGATATATTTATGTCCCCTGCATACTGGAACCCAGCGTGTGATCCCTCTGCCAGCACCATCCACCCCGGGAGGGCTGCCTCTTCAGCCCTCCTGTGGTCTATGTTGTCACCCACTAAGCAGCTTCATCCTCACGCTGTCTGCCTGCCTGTTCTGTGGTTCTTTTTTTCCTCACCATCAGTCTTACCAAAAGTTCTACCTATACTCACACCTCCATTGTTTTTTTTTTTCTCTTTTAAATATATATATTTCTTTATTGATTTCAGAGAGGAAGGGAGGGAGAGATAGAAACATCAACAATGAAAAAGAATAATTGATCGGCTGCCTCCTGCACCCCCCATTGGGGATCAAGCTCGCAACCTAGGCGTGTGCCCTTGGTCAGAATCGAACCTGGAACCCTTCAATCCACAGGCCAACGCTCTATCCACTGAGCCAAGCCGGCTAGGACACCACCTCCATTTCTTGATTTCTGCACTCAGCAACTATATAATCTGTGTCATAGTCACCAAGTGCCTGCCTTTGTAAGTCTCAATCCCCATCATAGTTGACTTCCCTGTAGCATTGGACCCTGATGCTGCCTTTCCCCGGCTTCAGTTAACAAGTGAACCCTCCTATCTCCCTCCCTCCCTCTCGCTCCCCCCCACTCCGTGTGTGTCTGTCTGTGTCTGTATGTCTGTCTCTCTCTCTCTCTCTCTCTCTCTCTTTCTGACTCAGGCTTCCTCACCATTATCCTTTGCTTGGTATCCTTCCTTCTGTTACTTTTAGTCTCAGCGCATAGAGTTGGCACTCAGCAGGTATTCATTGAGTAACGTAATAGATGGTAGCAACTAGAGCATCATCTTAAATTCCTCACTGAGTTTTAACCCCTTGGGTCTGATTTCATTTTTTGTTCTGTTTTTTGTTTGTTTGTTTTTTAATCAAATCTATCTGTTCACTCATTTATTCCCCTCTCTCTCTTCTCATTGCACTACTGCTAGTCTAGGCCAGGTACTAAGGGGTTATAGCAGCAAGGTCTCTGTCACACAACTCCAGGGGGTGCCGCTTACCTTGTAGCCTGCAAATGACACCTCTTGCAAAATAGCGCAGCCCACCCACTGCCTGCGTGCACATTCACTGCCCAGTGCACCTTACAGGTCCTCCTCATTCTCTTCCCAGAAGAGCCGTTCTCCTGCTCAGAGATCATCAGAGCCTTTGCTTGGCTGAATCCTTATTGCATTCAAGGCTTTCTTGTGTGTTCACAACCTCCTCCCAAACCCCTTGAGCCTGTATCTTTATATTACACTGGGCAAATTGTTTAACTTCTCCGCGCCTGTTTCCTCATCTATAAAACAAAAGTGGTAGCAGCACCTACCTCAGACCTTAGGATGACAGTGCATGTAAAGTGCCTGCCCAGACTGAGGCCCTCCAGCCTGGACAATACTACCTTTCTCTCCTTTCCCACTCTCGGATCTTCGTTTATGTTGTTCCCTTTCCCACTCCACATTTCCTGTTACCTGTTGAAATTCTATTCCTCCTTCAATCCCCAGATGAAACTCCATCTCCCCTGTGAAGCTCTCCCTGATTCCCCCAGGAGGACTTAATCTCTCTTTGCTCAGTGTTCCTGTGGCACTGATTTATACTTCATGTGTGACACTTACATCACATCTCATGTTACACTTATTTCTGGACTTGTTCCTCCACGGTACTGTGAACTCCTTAGAATAGGGTATCCTATCTTCAGCTCAGTTTAGTAAGGTGGTCAGGGGGCTCAGGAGGGAACAAATGCCCATCCCATCGTGTACAGTGCAGTGGAGAAGCCAGTGATGTGAAGAGTGAGTGAGCATTGTTACAGAAGAGAAGGACAGGATGCTGTGGCAGCATATGCTTGGGGACATGGCCTTGTCCAGAGCGCTGTGTTCAGTTCTGCCTCTCCTGGGACAAGCAGCACCTTACAAGTAGGAGGTCTTGTATGAAGCTTGACTTCCAGTGCCGGCGACTGCCCCTGTCCGAAAACCTGTTCTCCCTGCCACCTCCTTTAGAGTAGGCTGCACAGGCCCAGGCACCGAGGGCCTGCTGTGATTTGTCCAAGGCTGAGGTTGCTGTTGCCCCTTTAAGAACAGGCCCCACATGAACCGCTGCTGGCGGCCCTGCCTCCTGTCAGCCTTCTTCCTCCAGCCTCACAGCCACAGGAGGATTTCTCAGCAGAGGAAAAATTCCCCCCTTCCCTTCTCCCCCCCACTTTAATGCCCGGGGCCCTTCACTTCCATAATTCTTCATTTTCCAGCCTTGAACGTAAGCCAGACACATCTGTCTGGCCATATGCGTGAACCCTGGAGTCTGTGCCGAGGTGGCTGTAAAACAGGGCCGGTGAAGGCCCTTCTGGGAGAGCACACACATGTGTGTGCCCTCGGGCCATTGGCTCCCTGCCCAGAACCACGGGGCTGCAGCGCTCCAAACCCATGTTAACCTTTTCTTATTTTTCCTCTTTTTGTTTACTTTAAGGGGGGAAAATCCCAAGGAAAAGGTATAAATTGTCCTGGGTGTGGGGGGGAGGCTCCTAGCTAGAGAGGCCATTATTGTTGGCAGGTACCTGGGTCACACTAATACAATAAGGAAGAGAAGAGCATCGAGTGAATTAAGATGGGAGAGATGGGCTGTAAATTACACTGCTCTGAACTCCATCAGTCTCCAGGGGTGTTAACCGAGAGGTGTAAGGCAAGTCCCCAGCTCCCAGCGCCTTTTACAGATGCAGCAAAACAGGAACCACACATATTTGGGGAGGGGGATAAGAAGATGGGGTTGAAAAAAAATCCTCCTGGCCCCCATGACGGCTATAAAGTCCAACTGAGATCTGGAGCTGTAGCCACACCCCCCACTTCCCTGCTTGAACCTAGACCCCTGGCCCCAAGCTCATCTGTGGGGCTGGGGGAGGTGGGGCCTGGCCTCCCTCCGTACCTCACAGCCTGTCCTTCCCTGCTTCCGGCATTGCACAGAGGCTGGTAAGTGGGGCCGACTGGAGGTCAGAAAAGGGGTGTGGGCAGCTCTCAGGGCCTGTGCAGCTGGAGGCCCGGCTCCCAGGCAGGCCCCTGGATGCTAGGGGGCCAAATCCGCCCACCTGGGCTTTGAGGTCACCCTCTCGAGCTCAGCTTGGCTTTGCTTGTTGCCTGAGACAGCTGTCTTCATGTTGGGTTGGTTCTGACCACCTTGCCACTTCCCACCTTTCCAGTTCTTTTCATTCCCATTGCCTTTCTTGGGAGGTGTCCAGAGACCACAGCAGGGTACATAGTTTGTCTGGGAAATTGGTCAGAAGTGTTTCATTCCTAAGCAGGCCCCCTGTGCAAAGCAGTCACTGAAAATCCTCCTCCAGGCATGAGGCATGGCCTCTTGGCACCTCGTACTGGCCCTGTGAATCCCCCGCCTCCTCTCTGCCTCCATGAAGCTTTGCTGTGATTTGTGCTGCTGTCGGGCGGGGTCAGGCTTCCTGAGCAGTTGCAAACATCCCACCTGAAACATAACAGGCTCTTCCTCTGGCCACAGCTATTGTTTCCCTTCGCATTATGGCCACAGTCTTGCTCTGTAGCCAGCAATGACATGTGTTCTGAAAATAGCTTCACTCCCCTGTCCCCTTCCCACCCACCCACCCTCCTGAAGATGCGGTCACTCCTTTGTGATGGCCCCAGGAGTTTTACTCTAAATATAGCTGCAGCCCATTCACACTGCCACCCAGCTGGAGGGGGGGCACTGTGGAACAATGGGGCATGCACAGAGCCCCCCACACCTGTATGGAAGCTAGCGGAAGACAGACACTCAGCCCTGGCTCCTAGCTGTCGGAGGCAGGGTGGGA